AGCCGTCATTGTTGTTTGGCGGGTCCGGGCTGGGGATTCGAACCCACCACCTTAGGTGTACGTGGCTGGCGCCTTAGCCCGGTGAGCTATAGGCGCCGAGCCAGCTTTAATTTTTAACATAAAAAATATTACTAATACAATCCACATAAATATAAGGTCTCTGGAATACTCAAACTCTCTTAGAAAATATTGGGTTTCGAGGCTAAAAAGACCGAGAATCTTAACTTTAAGACAAACAAATCATTAGAAAGTGAAATTCGAGGGTAAATATTCTATGCATTTTAACTGCCCTATCCTCAGAATTATTTTATCAATTTCTTTTCTTATAATATATTAGAGTGCCCCCAACATCTTCTGCAATACAGATTATAAATCTTTTTAGAACTCTGCCAATCTGGTGAGAAATACATTAATAGTATGTATATTTACTGTAATTGTCAAAGGGATATTCAACCTTTTGGCTTCTCTGAACCACACCAGAACAAGAGCTGTCTTGGGCCAGACATTAAATACACTAGCACTAACAAAAACTAACAAGCAAAAAACAAAAAAACCCAAAAATGTCCTCACAAAATCCACAACTGCTTTTGTAGGCTACAGGCTGGACACACCTGATTATCAACTATGTCTGTTTTGTTGTGAGGGGGCCTTGACACAGAACTACTACTTGGAATCTGTTCAATGAATGAGTGCATGACTGGAGAACCTGCAAGGTCTTTCTTTGCAGATACCCTTTCTTCACATTCTCATTAGGGAATTAAGTCTAATAATACCAGGAAGATACCATTTTGGAAATGTTAAGACATGACATTTCAATTCTAAACTTTTAGAAAGGAACAAAGTCACTTTACCTAGGAATTTGTTTTCATACCAAGAGGGCCAGCATTACAATTTGCCTGTATATGGGGGAAAATTTTTTAAATTCCATGCAGAAAAAAGTTAATAGGTAGGGTGTGTATGTGTGTGGAAGTTCATCCCTGTAATGTTAACACTCTGTGAGGACAAGGTGGAAAGACTGCTTGAGGCCAGGAGTTTGAGATCAGCCTGAGCAACATAGCAAGACCTCATCTCTACAAAAAATAGAAAAATTAGCCAAGTAAGGTAGTACATGCCCGTAGACTCAGCTATTCAGGAGGCTGAGACAGGAGGATTGCTTGAGCCCAGAAGTTTGAGGTTGCAGTGAGCTATGACGATACGATTATACTCAGAACCCTGTCTCAAAAAAGGAAGGAAAAAAATGTTGAAATAGAGGGTGGCGCCTGTGGCTTAAAGGAGTAGGGCACTGGCCCCATATAGCAGAGATGGTGGGTTCAAATTCAGCCCCGGCCAAAAATTGCAAAAAAAAAAAAAAAAAAAAAGTTGACATAGCAGGTCTAAGTCTGCTATCCTTTGAAAGGCCTGACTGGCCCTTGGCTGGGGTCTGAGATCTTGGATTTGGGGAAAGTTTCTACTATTTTCTAAATCATGTTAGTAGCTTACTGTACCTAAATTGTTTGTACCAACCATAGCTTATTTTGAAAACTTGCTTTCCTTCTGAGAGTTTGGAATTTTGGTACATACTAGGCACAGAGTACCTATATGACCAGAATGCCATAAAGACCCTGGGTACAGGCCAGGCAAGGTGGCTCATGCCTATAATCCTAGCACTCACGGAGGCTGAGGCAGGTGGACTGCCTAAGCTCAGGAGTCTGAGACCAACCTGAGCAAAAGTAAGACCCCATCTCTACTAAAAATATAAAAACTAGCTGGGTGTTGAGTAGTCCTAGCTACTGGGGAGGCTGATGCAAGAGGACTGCTTGAACCCAAGAGTCTGAGGTTGCTGTGAGTTATGAAGCTGTAGCGCTCTACCCAGGGGACAGTGTGAGATTCTGTCTGTAACGAGCCTCCCTGGTAGACAGTATTTCGTATGTGTTATCACAACTTCTTGTTGGAGGAATTAAGAGGATCCTATGACTCCATTGGGAGAAACTCTTGGAAGCTTGAGTTGGCTTCCTCTAACTCCTCCACAGGCAACTTTTCCCTTGGGTTTTTGCTATAATAAATCAGTTAGAGGTATGACTACATGCTGAGTCCTGTGAATCTATGTTCATTCTCATCCAATGTAGTGAAATAATTGCGGATTTCTCTAAAACTCTCATGTCCCTGATGCTTTGACCCATGCTCCAGGTAAACACATGTAATAATAGCCATTTAGACCTTGAAATAGGATCCTCAGGAGATATAACAAATGAACAGAAAAAGTGAGAAGCAAGAATCAGAAAGTCATTCAACTCTCTCTATTCCTCAACTGTGCACAAGTATTATATACAATGCTGACAAGTGACTCAGCTCACTTACCTTGGGAGAAATACTGGTTTCTGTGCCAGATGTTCTCGAAGCTCAGGAGAGGTAGTATCAGAATTCATGTATCGCTCCACGTAGTCTGACCAGCGCTAGGATAGCAAACACAAAACAGGTGGAGAGAGACCACAAAACCAAGCTTCATCCTCATCGATTAGTGCAGTAAATCCTGACTAAAATTACATTTCAAGATCAGTGAAGTCCCTCTCCATAGTGGCACGCTTATTATGTGGTATTGGAAACAGATTAAAAATTCTGTTAGCCAGAAATACCACACCTTTCTCTGAGATGCTCAGGTTATCATAAGTCATACACAGTTAAGAAGGTGGCTCACTGACAAGTTTTATTTCCTCACAGAGGCCTTTGTTAAATAGAATAATACAGTGGCGAATGGATTCTTCACTTGAAAATATGGATTTCTGGCATATCTTGGAGAAAAACAGTTGAAACATTTGGCAACCACAAGTCAATATTCACATTAGTCTCCCTGCATGTCCTCCCCACATCATACATATGGTCCACAAGACTCAACTATGATAATCACATTTCTCCATCTACTCTTTGGGCTGAGAACTCCTAGCTTCATCTCTCCAATAAAAATGAAACATGACTCAAAGGATCAAGATGACACTGGGAAGATGGCACCACATTTGTTGTTTTTTATACATTAGGAAAAAGCTAGAAAGCAGTCAACCACGAAAGTTCCTGAGGAGATAGCTTCACTGAGTGAAAGATGAGGTTCTCATCTATACCCAGGCAGCCCTTTTATTTCAGTGGAAGACGTGTCTGGAATGATCCATACTTTAAGCATCCTGGTTCTTTTTTTTTTTTTTTTTTTTTGAGACAGAGCCTCAAGCTATCCCCCTGGGTAGAGTGCCATGGCTTCACAGCTCACAGCAACCTCCAACT